CCCCCCCCCCCCCCAGACCGGTGTTCAAAGCTCGATTTGCTCCACAATCAAGCGGTTGTTCCAACACCAAAAAATTGGTTTTGGAAATATCTCCTCAAGAGATTTCCGTAGACATAACGGGCTCTTTCCGCAGCCACTTGTTCGTGGAGCAATCGACGTTGGAGAGTCGGTCCAGGGGGGGCGTGCCATCTCTCCGCCTCTTAGGGTATGCGACCGCGAGCAAAGGAGCCATAACGTTTCGTTCTGTTGCCAAACTTGTCATCATCAGCTTGTTGTGCGTGGAGAGCAATTTAGCGGCCCGCGCCCATCAATCAGCGTAGAGGTAAACACCTCTTAGACCCTACAGCGCGCAATCTCGCCTCAAACCGGTATCTACACGCCCCAGCTTCACTCCCCTGAGCTTATCGGGTGTTTCAGAGCAGGATATCGGACCAACACCCATACAGGAACTTTTTGAGCAAATTGTCGCCATTCACGGTAGCAGAGGGATTGAGAGCCACGTCCGAAGATGTGGGATTTTTTCTCATGCTGAGAGCGGAAAACCCCGCTGGCATATCTTGTCATGTACAGTCAGGGGCCCTCCATCGTACGGGTACAGCATGCGACAAGCGCGTTCACCCGCACCATCGCGGGCAACCGAACTATTCAACGTGCAAACCACCTTGACTTTCCCATATGTGCCAACCAATTTCACCCGCACTTGATGGGGTGCCCGCACTGTTGACGGCCCCCGACGGAACAATGTTCCTGGACAATCTTGGCTCGAGCATTACCTCTATTCAACATAAAAAAACTGGTCGCTATCCCTCTGCCATCTTGTCGAGAAAGGGTGCACACGCATGCATGCTAGATACCAGTGCTTCAATAGCATGGGACGACGTGTACGACGGTGCCCCTACAACAATATTCTTGTTAACACTTGCTCCTAACGGTACCGCTATTTATCTACGCGCGGAAACCCGCGGAAGTCACCTGCTTGTACGCGTCTTGCACCAGGTCGTTCAGCTCCCGAGCCTGGATGTTGCGCCGGCGCACCCCTGCCTCCTCGCCCTCCTCGTCGTCGTCCACAACGGGTGGCTCGAAATCCTCGTCGCCGTCGTCCTCCTATTCTTCGCAAACAGACGTGTTGGGACGTTTTGGCCTTCCTAGTACCCAGTCCCGCCGCAACAAAAAAAAATGTCGCAAAAATGGTTGTCAGTCATTCGTCAAGGGGCTGCAGTCCCTCCGAAAATTCTCGAAATCCTCGTCGCCGTAGACAAGCAAGCGTGTGTTAGGACGTTTGAAGTACAGTCGGCGGTCCTCAATAACGGTACCTTCAACAACGGAATACCCTCTATACCGGCACCGAAATCGCTTGACACAAACGCATTTTTCGGTACACTCCCTGTTATGAGTAGCGGCACTGCCCTCTAGAGCGGCACCAAAACTTCTTGTCACTGGCTACCGCTATTGAGGACCGCCAGCTGTACTACCAAGCGCATCATGAGAACCTTCCACCGTGTTTGTTGGTCAGCATGATACAGCTTTGTCTACAAGGTCAAGTTTCGTTCTCCACTACTAGTAATCGTGAAACATAGCCTGGGCCAATCCCGGAAAATAGCTCCGTCCCGGCCTTGTAGGGATGCCGGGTCAATGGCCTAACGACTATGGCATGCGTTTACATGGGTCTAAACCCCCACTCCCCTTCAACGTGGTGATAATGCCGCAGGTCAGTACACAGCGTGGTGCCGTCAAATAGGTAGGCTTGGGGAAAACTATAACATACTTTGTTTCTCGCTCCACTTGGGACGGATCAAAACAGGAGCTGTCCGCCGTTCCTTCGTGCGTGTGTAAGCTGCTGAAACAACCGTTTTTCTTTGCGTCAAAGAAAAGCTTAAAGCTTACCACTGGTCGGGTAGTATTGCAGTTGGCTTGGGACCGCGGAAGGCGTCGGCGTCAGTTGGACCAGTACAACACGGATATTAGGAAGTACTGAGCAGGACCGAAACGGCTTTCAATGTGAAGACAACAACAACAACAACAACAACAACAACAACAACAACAAGGTACTACACAACTGCTGTTGGGTGCACAGTGCAAGGCGCAGTGCAAGCACAAACTACACCTCGTGGTCTCTGCACCACAGCAGTATTCACGTCCCGCCGTACAGCAGAGGCAAGACTCCCCCCCCCCCC